ACATTGCCTTATCACAGTCAGAGGCGGCCATAGCTTTTGCAGCCTTTACCTCTTTGTTTCTCCGATCAAGCGGCTTGCGAAGGCCGTTCACTCGGAGCAGGGCCTAAGTAAAGAGAAAACATGCGTCAGTTTCCAAACAAAAAGATAACAGGCGTCCTGGAATTTAAATACTCAAAAAATGCTAAGTATACCTCAGCAAGGACCCCTGCAATCCCATCAAGGTCAAGGGTGCCGACACCCCTAACCGCCTCCCTTTCAGATGGAGGAACTGCTTTGATCATGGACTTGGCTACCTCTACCAAGTCAGGCTCCTGAGGGCCGGCTGCATCAAGCGTAAAAAAGCAAGTTAGACCTAGTCAAGAAGGAAGCAAGTGTAAAAGTTTTTACAAGTAATTGTCCATACTTCTAGGCGGCCCCGCCGGAGTTTTAGAAGAAGTGGCCGGCTGCTTCTCAGCCGCCACTGTTTTCCTGGAAGACCCAGGAGAGCTTGCAACAGTCGTCCTCCGGGCCTTGGGGTCCGGCTGTTGCGAGGAAGAAGCTCTTGGAGTGCCCGACTGAAAAAAAAAAAAAAAAAAGAGTTAGTATATGCATAAGACAACAACTCCTAAAAGAGGAAGAGTTTCGAAGCCCACCAAGGGTGCCCCCTTGTTGGGGGAGTCGGTACAAGATTGTTGCATGAGAGAGGCCCGCAACATGGCCGCCGCAGTCTTGGATGCTGTTATTTTACTCATGGCGTCAGCTGCAAAAAAATAAACAGCAAAGTTAGTAAAAATCCCAAGTAAACAAGGCGTGAAAAAACAGAGTATTTGTCAGGCCGGCTACCTCTAGAGCACCGACTGCTGAGGCCACAGGCGGCCAAAAAGTACTCGTCATAGAGCCACTTGAAGCTCGGGACGCAGTTTAGGGGTACTTGCTCTCGTACCCCTGAAGTAGAGTTCACCCTAGTCTCTACTTTGAAGAGTCCTTTGTCTAGGATCTCCTTTTTAGCCTTTGGGGGAACAGGCGGCATGCTGCGGCCGCCTGCGAGAAGAGACGGATCCCTATTCCACTTGTTAAAGCGTTTTTTCAGCTCCGTGTCTGAACCCTCGATGATAAGGAAGGTGTTCCGCCAATCCTTCCATTTGTTCGCCTTACCTCTCGTCATGAGGTAGCCCCTATGGCTTGTTAATTGATACCAGCCGGTACCGCCCGACTTAGGGGTCCTGCTGAGATAGTTCATGTGGGCGAAAGCCTCAAAGCTTGGCTCCACCCCGTACATTTCGCACCCGACCACATAGCCGAGTACGTTTACCCAAGAGTTGGGGGCTAACTGCCATAACCCCAAATCATACCCATCTAAAATCCGCTGAACAACCGGATGTAATGGGAAGCGCAGTCCAGCTTTGATGGCCGCCACATAGCAGCCAAAGCAGCCGTCATCATAGCTGGTACCAGCCGGCCAGACGACAGTGTCTTCTGGATCCGGCACGAACAGTAAAAATCCGGGGCCCATTCTGTGGTTAGCTATAAAGCTCTCCACTTTGTCTTGCATGGCTGCGATCCGGCCCCAGGGTACCGTGCAGTAGTAGGGGGTGTTTTCCTCTCTGTAAGAGGCGGACGGCTCCGCCCAATTGCCCCCCTTCTCAACTGCATGAGAAAGCCTCGCCTCTTGTAGGCGGCTGTTTCTTTCTTCTGAGCCTGGAGAAGCGTGGCCAGAAGAGCTGGACTTTGACTCGTCCTCTGACGAGTCCGAAGATGACGACTCCTCCCCTCTCCCAGAGGGGCCCGCCTCCTCTCCCTTAGAAGGAGCAGGAGAAAAGTTAGACATATCAACGGTGAAATGGGAAGGGACCACCTTGACCCCTCCCTCAGAACTGTCGGCTTGGCAGCCGCCTTGTTTCACTTCTACATCTGGCGCCTGGTCAGATGTTTCACTAATGGGCACCCTTTGGGAGGAGCCGTCCGAGTTTGAGATCCTAGCAGTCTTTTTTGTTCTGGCCATCACGTTCTGCATAGACACAGATACAGTCGGACTTTGTATAAAGGGCAAAGATGGGTCCAGAAAAGGGCAGGCGGCACTCCTAGTCCTAGATTCAGCCGTCCCCGGTGACCGGCTGATCACTAACTTAGGTCGTGTCGTGTGCTTCCATGGTGCCATTTCAAAAAATAATAATAAGAAAAAAAATTAAGAATAAGAGAACCGACGGTTACCTGAACGAGTGACGACTGATGAAATTCTGAAATCCTTTGCAAACGGCTTGTCAGAGCAGGCGGTAGGCAACAAAAGTCCAAAGTGTCAGAGCAAGTTCAGGGGTCCGAATGTTCTCTCGCAAAGTTCTCAAATGTGAAAATGACCGAAGTCAGCACTTCCTTATATAGGCAAAGTGAGAAGGCGAAGGGTCGCTTCCAAATTCAAAATTTGGGCGGGAAAATCTCTCGGCCATTTGCAAGGTGACACCTGTAGCAGGCCGTCGCCTATCACCATGCGACACCTGTCACAGGTGACACGTGACCAGTCACGTGCCACCTGTGAGGGGCAAATGATTAGGGGATTTTTATCCACCAATCACCGTCTGACAAGTGGACCAACCAGGTTCCGCCACGTGTCCTTCACGTAGGCCAATAAGATCCTGCCACGTGTCAATCACATATACGTCCTCTACGGACCAATTGAGACACGCCACGTGTCCACCCATGCCAAATGGGAAAACCGGCCAACAAGGCCCAATCCTGTTTAGAGGCCCAGTCAGCCCTAGGTTTACCCTAAACCTAGAGAGTGGCACGCTTCCCGAGGTTATAAATACCCCTCTTAATCCTCATTAAGAGGGAGAGGACTCGAAAACAACACACGGATTACACATTAAACACTCTCACCTAGAGAGACTAAATCACTTTAATTTCCGCATTTATTACTCCTTAATCAGGTACTAACTTGACCGTTGGAGGCAGAGCTCCTACCACAAGGAGTCTTCGTTGTTTTGCAGGTACAGGCGTCCGGTTCCAGTCTCGGTGTTGTAACTCTCCCGCAGGACACCAGAAAACCCCGAAACAGTGGTGGTGGAAGGCGGTGGTGGTGGAGGGCGGTAGTGGAAAGGGGTTGGAGGTGGTGGAAGGAGGTTGGGGGTGGTGTTGGAAGGATGTTGAGGGTTGGGGCAAGAAACTGGTTTGGTGCTGCCAACCAGGTAAAACGCTGCCTGGGGCAGCGTTTTACCTGTAAACATATACAGACAAAACGCTGCCCCAGGCAGCGTCTTATGACGCTGCCTGGGGCAGCGTTTTATGCTGTTGCCTTTTTTTTAATTAATTTTAAAAAAAAATAAACGAGGAAAAAAAAAAAAGTCAAACTATAAAAATGCTGCCTGGGGCAGCGTTTTTGTAGCAGATTTTTTTTTTTTAAAAAAATAGAAAGTAAAACGCTGCCCGAGGCAGCGGTTTACCCCAGAAGCTTATTTTTGTAAATACTTTTGCCACGCAACCATTTTTGTAATTACTTTCGTAACGAAGCTTAGTTTCCTAAAATGTCCACAAAACATGGCATTATTGCAAATAAAATGCAACTTTTGGTGTAACGGGTTTGAGAAATGGAGGGAAAATTATAATTGTACAACAAAAATTGTAGCGGTGTGGGGCCATTAGCTGAATTAAAAAAACATACTGAGTAACCCCACCAAACACTTGTATTTGTCTTTGGTTGACTTAGCTCCCCAATTTCGCAACCAGGGTTCCTCAATTTTGGAAACAATTTACTTCCTGCCATATTTGCCTGTGAAGTCGCGGCTAGTAAATGTTGAATTGGAGGTAGCACTTGGTTCCGTGGCTAATGGAGTACCTGGAAACAACTGAAGACCTTGAATGGTACCATGGTGGTGAGTATGGCCTTAGCATTGCCGATGATGTTGTAGATGATGCCGTAGATGGTGCTGGTGACGGCGGCGAGTCTTGCGCTGCAGCGTTGGAGGCTTTGTTAAACCAGGTAAGCTATTTAACTGATCTTTCCGTGTTTGAATTCTTTTGAATTTGACCCTTTTTAAAACTAGGGTTCCAATTCCTAGGATTTTGTGTGTTAAATTTTTGGCTTAAAAGAAACGGGGTCTTTGTTATGGTTAATGGTAGTGCATGGCTGAAACTAGCTGAACAATTTGTTCTTTGAAAGAATTTGAACTTTATTATGGTTAAATGTAGTGTATGAATGTTTTCGCATTTCCAGTATGTGGGAATATGGTAAATGGTTTTGTCCTAGTTTGATAATCTATATTAATTCAATTGTTGGTGTTTGTGGAAATGATTTGCTAAACGGTTTTTAGCTGACCTCAATAATTGGACTTTGTTGTAAAGAATTACCTAATGTTTGGTAAAATTTCATAAGATTGCTTATTGGGGTATTAATTGTGTACTGTTCTGTAGGTTGTTGTTGGGGAGGAGTCTTTTAGAAATCCAAAGAAAGGTAAGAGTAATGTCTTAGTTAGTGTTGAGATTGAAGAGCCGGTGGAATTGGAGTTGGATGTACCTCTCCCGGCTCCTGCTGTAGGAATGGTGTTTGGTTTAATGTTAGAGGTTGATGAGTATTTTCGTAATTATGGGCAGCAGCAGGGGTTTGGTGTTGTGAGGGCGAGTGGGGCTAATTCTGGAAAAGGTTTGAAGCGTAATTGTAGGTGGACTTGTGAATGCTACGGAGGGCTGTTCAGAAGAGGAAAAAGACCGGACTAGGGTTGGTTTCTGATGCTCAGATCAGTGAAGATGAGGATATGTGCCCTAAACGTAAGTCGAAGAAATGTGAATGCACTGCGAATTTATATGCTAATGTGAATAAGTTAGGCCAATGGGTTATTCAGAGGGCGCATATGGAACATGCTTGTCATAATCCTACTCCCGGAAAATCAAAGAACATAAGTAGGTTTCGGAAGAAATTTTTGGTGGATAATCCTCATCTTGTGCGGCAGCTCTTTAATGATCGGAAGGCTGGGGTGCCTATAGCTAATATATACCGATGTATGGCGAGGTAGAGGAATGGTTTGGAGGAGATGCCGTTTGAGCAGAAGGACTTACATGATGAAGTTGCAAAGCAGAACGAACAGGTGTTTGATCAGGGAGATGCAAAAGCCATGTTTGCCTACTTTAACAGGATGGTGGAGGACAATGATAAATTCTTTTATAAATATCGAGTTGATGAAGAATGTCGGTTGAAAGATGCGATATGGATTGATGCTAGGAGCAGGGCAGCCTATGAGGAGTTTGGTGACATTGTTGTGTTTGACTCAGCCTACCTCACTAATGAATATAAGCTTCCGTTTTGTAACTTTGTTGGCGTGAACCATGATGGGCAGACCATTCTGCTTGGATGTGCTCTTGTTAGTCACGAGACAGCTGAAACTTTTGAATGGGTATTTGGTATTTTCTAATTGGCTGAGACGTATGGGTGACAAAGCTCCTATTGGGATTCTAACTGACCAAGACGCGGCAACGAGGAAGGCTTTGGAGGTGGTTATGAAGGGCACTATCCATAGATGGTGTATTTGGCACATTCTTATCAAGTTTGCAAAGAAGTTAGGCAAGCGTGTTAACTATCATGAATTGTAGGAGGAACTACACCAAGCCGTGTACGACAGCCTAGACTGTGAGGAATTTGAACAACGGTGGCCAGAGGTTATTAAGAAGTACAAAGCTGAGGATGATCAATGGCTGGAAGGTATACATGTTCTTATTATATTTTGATCTGTAGTTGTGTTTTTTTTTTTCTTTTTTTTTTTATTTCGGGAAAGGCTCCTTCTTATTATATAATATTACCGTGGTGGAATCTTGAGTTTTTGTTGATCCTATAATGACTTAGTTATTTTGATGTCATATACATGTTATCTTTCTAGTGTATTGTATTGATTCTGCTGAAATAGGTACTAGGTGAACCTATTTTATTGTTGTACCTTTGTTGGAATTTGGTGTTTGCTTGTGTGGCTGCATGTCAGGGTTGTTTGAGGAAAGGGCTATGTGGGTCCCTGCTTTTTTGAAACATTTGTTCTGGGCAGGGATGAAAACCACTCAGAGAGTTGAGAGTATTCATAGCTTCTTTGATGGATATTTGAGCAAACACACTTTGTTACATGAATTTGTGGAGAGGTATGAAGAAGCGCTCTCGGTTAGATCAACAAGTGAAAAGAAGGCTGATGATAACAACGCTAGATATGTAAGGAAGGCCTACACAAATTTTCCTGCTGAGCTTTTATTCCAGAAGATCTACACGGATGCGAAATTCAAAGAAGTGCAGCGTGAATGTAGTCGTATGATGTATGTCAGTGCAATTGAGAAAAGACAGGTTTCTGAACATGTTGAGCATGTTATTGAGGATAGAGTTTGGTTCAAGCCCAAGAACTCATCGAAAGAGAAACCGTCCAAGCGTAAGCGGAGATATGTGGTGACCTTTGACATTGTAAGTAAGGATGCTTGTTGTGAATGCAAGTACTTTGAATGTCATGGAATTATCTGTCGTCACATAATTAAGGTATATGAGTTGATGATCATGCAGATATTCCAGACAAGTTCATCTTGGGGCGTTGGAGGAAAGATGTCATAAGGCAGTACACCCGGGTCAAGGTCGCTTATCACGATCCAAGTAAGACGGAGGAGGTTTGCAGGTTTGACAAGATGATGGTGAAGTTTAATTCTGTTTCTTCTAAGTCCTCCTTGCGTAAAGAAACAACAAAACTTGTTCTTGAAATGCTTCAGTTACTTATTCAAGTAGATGAGATGGTTGCGATGATTAACAAAAAGGCTGAGAAGAACGGTTCGAATTTAACCCAAATCCCGCCTTCAGTTTGCTTGGAAAAAGGAACTCCTGTTACCCCATCCACACAAAGGCAAGGAAGTTGTTATGAGATACCCAAAGATCCCCCTCTTCCTAAAAGGCTTGCTCATAGAACCACAAATGTCAGATATCCGTCATGTATTGAGAAAACAAAGAAAGGTGGTAAGAGTAACAATAGTCGAAAGACGATGGCCACCCCAAAAAAAACAAGCCGATAAGCATTGTGGCACTCCGTCCAACACCCAGGTTTTAAACCTCTCCTTCTCCCATAATCTCATTTCATATATATTTAAGGTTGTGTTTGATTTAGATTACACTGGCCCCTCATATTGCAGGCACCGCAAGGTTTTGTCTTCCCTTACAACCCCCAATCGGTTGGGGGGATACAGATGGTTGATGGTGATGGTTCTATTGGGTACTTCATTGGTGTGTCTGGAGGGCACACCGTACCTGCTAATTTTTCAGGGTCTGAAACTGAACTTCAGTCAATGTACAGGGCTGGTTTCATTCCTTACCAGTACACTCAGTACAGGCCAATGTATCCATATGGTGTACTGGCAGCAACATCCCACTCTCCTCCCACCCCTCGTTCTGCATCTTCCCTAACTGGTGGTAGGCCTATGTTCAGACCAATTGCACTAAAACCCCCCATGTCCACTTATGGATGTAATCAACAGGCTCCTACTCAACATCAATCTAATCATTTTGTTCAGCAGTTCACTAATCAGCAGTAGGTCCAGAAAGGAGTGTCGTGTTGAAGTGTAGAACCTTTTGAAGCGTAAATGCTGAAGTAAGTAATATAATTGCTGCTTTTTGTATAGACTGTTAGGTCAGGTGATAAGCGGAGTAACACACGCATTAATTTTTGTAAGATCAGTACATTGATCATTATTACATTCTTGTTAGGTAAGAGTACATGTTTGGCAAGGGTACATGTTTGAGTTTTGGCGTATCTTTTGTAAGATCAGTATATTGATCGTATATGTAAGCTGATTACTATTCTCGCTAAAATGTGTCTACATCACGTCCCTTTTATGTAATTCTCACCATATAATAGGTTATTTAGAATGCATTAAAACATATTTATTTATTGATGAATACAGACTGCCCTGTCACCAGCATTCCTCTACGTTACTTAGTTATCATAGACAAAAACATTTCATGATTACATGTAACACCCCAATAATTCTCTCCTAAAAACATGTAAATACCTTTAACAATTTGCAAGAAAATTACTGACGTGCTATTGTCATGTGTTCAAACGTTAAGGCTAGTTCAGAATTTGGCAGCGGAAAAACTGACTCAGTTATAAACAAGTTTCGAAACCAATAATAAAAACCAAATTTAGTTTTACAAGTCGGAACCATTAAGATCCTTATTCAAATCCCAACAACCACTAGGAGAAAAATGTAAATTAGCACCGGTTCAAAACTCGCATTCAGCACCGATTTTGAATCGGTCCAGATTTGAGGGATGCCAAAAACCAGAAGCATTCGCACCGGTTCAAAATCGGTGCCAATTATTAGATTTCACACCGGTTAACCGTTGCTAAACGAGTATTGCCGCGTTTTTTTTTGTGGGATTAATAACAATTGGCACCGGTTCGGTTCAAAACTGGTGCAAAAAATGCCCCAAAATAAAAAAATAATTTTTTTTTTGCATTTTTTCACTTAAATTGATATAGAAACACTAACATATTTATAAAGTTACATATTTTCATTAAAAAAGGTTGTAATATTACAATTTTCGTCCCAAAAAAAATGAAAAATTACAAATTTAGAAAGACCAAAATAGCAGAACAGCAGCAACACAGTAGCGGAGCAACAGTAGCTATAGAGCAGAACAACAGCAGGGGCATGCAGCAAGGGCATAGCAGCATCTGGTCTGCAGACACTCCAACAGCAGGGGCATGCAACAGGAGCAACAAAGCAGAATGCTTAAGCCATCAATGGCCAACATACAAGCAGTCAAAAAAAAAGGAAATAAGCATCCAAAGGATCAGATACCAAGCACTTCGAAACAAGATGGGAGAGAAGGCTCATATCAGGTAAATAGGGCCTCGGAAAATTTAAACTCCTTCCCTTCCCTCACCTCTAGTCCCCTTTCCTTTCCACACTTTTTGACCCTTTTCCATCCTTTCATCATTACTAACCAAACACACTAGATAGGAGTGATAAACACCACCAAATAAAAATTAGAAGATAAGGGTGTTGTTCCATATAATCCGGAAAATATATTCTGTCTTCATGTTTCAATCGAAATATAACACTGAAATTCAAAGGATGTATGCATTTAAAGGGACAATTCATCAACCACTTGGATCAAAATCAGAAGAATAATCCATAATTAAGGCCAAAACCGAAATGAATTCATAAGAAAAAAGCCAAACCCGAAACTAATTCATAAAAAAAGGTTAAAACTTGTGATTTTATCAATTTATATGCATGACATGTACTACTCCGTATGTGTTACGAGTAAAGTTAATTCAAAAATTCACAAAATTCATCATCATTCCTCATCAAAAAACCGAAATTCATCAACAAAAACCTCACTTCATTCATCAACATAAAACGTAAATTTCAACAACATTCATCAACAGAAATCGCAAATTTCATCCAAATAAAGCAACTAATTTATGAATCCATCGGGGTTTTTTTTTTTCATCCAAAAACTTCTCAAATTGTGTTACCTCAACGGACAAATTGGAGCAAATCACATTGAGAAGCTGTACGATGAAAGTGAGTCCCTTCATCATCTGGATTATCCTAGTGTAACTATTTACTGCCGAGGGACTCAACGCATTATGATATCTATAGCACACGTCTTTAAAATTCATCAACCACTAGGACTCAACACATCTTTGAAATTCAAAGAATGTATGCATTTAAAGGGACAATTCATCGACCACTTGGATCAAAATCAGAAGAATAATCCATAATTAAGGCCAAAACCGAAATGAATTCATCAAAAAAAGCCAAACCCGAAACTAATTCATGAAAAATTACAAATTTAGAAAGACCAAAATAGCAGAATAGTAGCAACACAGTAGCGGAGCAGCAGTAGCTATAGAGCAGAACAACAACAGGGGCATAGTAGCATCTGGTCTACAGACACTCCTACAACTAGTAAGTGTTAAAAACAACAATGCCTATTTAAAGTACTATCACCTGTATTCAGGTGCCCTTATTTGGGGTTGCAAATGTATAGTGGACTCAAATACAAGCAGTGGTAAAAAAGACACTCATAACTCATAAGGCATTTTGAGGATAAGAAGGGAAAATGCATACAATTAGGCATTTCAATGTTGGAAAGAACACTAGAACACGAAGACAAGTAGACCATGCGTACATTATATGGTTCACATCATTCACACTAGTTATTTTAGAAGATGAAACGGTAGCTTCCATTCCATTACATAAATTCAACTTACACCCTATCAACCCAACTACAAGAGCGCAAGAACAAGGTTGACAGACTCATAGGTTAAAAAAAAAAACCACCTTATACATCTACCTTAATCATGGGGAAAAAAGATATCCAAAATCAATTTACTAACCAAGTTGAGGATGCAGAGGTCATTGGACAACTTATAGGGGTTGAAAGCAAAGTAGAAGAGAATTAAGACGACTCAGCATATCCACGAAGAACAATACACATTCAAGATGAAGCATAAGAAAAGAAAAAAAAAACAAACAAATTTCAAATACAAAATGTACACTAACTGAAATACAAAAAAAAAAAAAAAAAAAAAAAACTGCAGGTTTAGCAAGGTTGCGTTAACCTTAAGGGGTAACGAAGCAGATTTGATTACAGACAACATAACAGAAAATGGAGGCCATACAAAGATACTTATCATAACAACTACTCGAGTCACCATGTATTAAGGTGAAAACTAATTAAGTTCAACTCTTACAAACACATCTATATAACCAAAACTATATAACCATGTATCATAACAACTTCTGTTGTAGGGAGCTATCAACTTAACTCTATAAGTACCACAAAGATCTACATCAATTTCGTCAAAATAAAGCAAATAATTCATAAATCCATCGGGTTTTTTTTTTCATCCAAAAACTTCTTATCTAACGTTATGTTATGTTCCTTCTTGTAAGTTTCTTATGTAATGTTATTGAAATTGAGTTACTCTAATTACTTTCATTTTTTGTCTGATATTCTACTTGGATCATTTGGAGCACATCCCTATGTGATGTAGGCTATGTTACTGAGGCTAAAGGTGTGGACCACAGAGGAGGTGAGGGCTACCGTTTCTGAAGATAAGAGTTTCTAAATATGATTACGGCCCCGACTGTTTGGTAAGGAAGACCACTAATTTAAAGTATTTCTTCTTGTAATCGGTTGAAATAGAAGTTGAAGCACCTCTTTAGTCACTTTAGGCCATAGATATGGCGATATATGGTGAGCCTCATCTCCTGGTTGCAAGGGACAATACTAGTGAAGATGGTGGGGGAACATAACAAATTAAAGTTTCGGTTGAGCAAAGGCGGGGCTACAAATGCTAATAATGAAAATGGTCCGGTGTAATTTTGTTAAATTGACCTTAAAATCATTTTTTTTAGGAAAAATAAGTTACTAAATTCAAAATTGGGGCCGTTTATAGTAGTTTAACTAAGGGGCCTTGTGCGATCAACCACCCTGCACATGCTTAGAACCACCCCTGTGGTTGAGAACAAGCTAGTTAGTAATGTGGTGGAACAGCTATATTTCGATCGTATTTGAGTTGTTGAGCTTCAAAATAGAAATTCAACTTGTAATTCTTTTCAACTATTTGTTCTAGAGATTAGGAAAGTTGAACCATTCAAAATAAAAAATTTCTCTCTCTAAGGATCCGTTTGGTAGGGTGTAAAACATTTTCAATGTAAAATGGTTTTCCATAAAAATCATTTTACAATAGAAAACTCATTTTCAAAAAAGTTTTTCGTTGTTTGGTTGAATGATTTTCCATTTTAAACATTTTTCATTGTTTGGTTAAACTGAAAATTCAATTGTGAGGGAAAATGTTTTCCCTCCACTTGTGATGGAAAATGTTTTCCTCTAAATTGGGGGGAAAATGTTTTCAATAAAGTGGAAAATGACCCCAAGTTTTACATTTTAATGATTTACACCAAACTAAACAATGTAAAATGGAAAAACACTTTTCAGTGAAAATGTTATACGCCCTACCAAACGGAGTCTAAAAGAGACCTCCTCTCCCTGGGATACTAGAGCAGTAGAGCCTTACCCCTTCCACTGTCTTATCTCCTCCACCACCACTTTCCTCCACTTCTCACCAATTACAAATCTTTCTAGTTTCAATTACATCAGGTATTTCGTTGATAATACAAACAAATCAGTCGGAAAGTCCGATCTCTTGGTCTGAGTGGTAGTGCTTTCACCTTGCTTACCGCCATACCCCTGTTCGCTGCCGCCTCTCTGTTCAACGGTGGCCTCCAAGTTCGTCAGTGACACTACCCAGCTCTCTGGCAACGATTACTCCGTTCTACTTTGCCGTCCTCGCTCTAAGATAGAGTAAGGATCAATAGTTTTTGTAGAATTTAAACGTGTATGTTAGTGGACTCGAAGTTCTTTGTTCTGATCGGTGAGCCGTCTTTGTCGCGGTTTCGATTAACCCTACTCTCATCTTTTCCTCCTTCACTTGAAATGACGGAACAACAATATTTTAACCACTCAAGCTGGAATTCTTATGGTGACACATCCCAAAATTAACCGCTCATCCTCAAGCTACAATCCCTGTCCCCATATTCATCTTGTACTTGGTAAATTCTTGGACTACCGAAAATTCTCAGAGATTCGAATCCAAGAGTGGGTGTCAAAACAGTGGATTGAGTTTGGGGAAATTAAATTCCAGAAGTTCAACAATATTTTCCTGTTTCTATGTGACGATGTCCGCGACAAAAATACTACTCCCTCTTATTTTTATTAATTGCTACTTTTGTTACTTTAGTCTGATTCAAATTAAATGTAACTTTCTATTTTATTTCTATTTTAGGTAAATAAAAACCCTTAAAATTACTACTTTACCAAGTGGTGGGTCAAACTTTCTTTCTCTACACACTACTTTAAAGTATTTTACCCACTACTTTACCACTACTTTTCTAAGTGGTGGGCCAAACTTTCTCTCTCTACACACTTTAATCACCTTTAATTAACCCCACCACATACCCCTTAACTTTGCCTCGTGAACCGCAATACTCATGATAGTTGCATTTAATAAAAATCGGAGGGAGTGTTGGAGCAGGGATCCGTAGCTTGAGGAGGCTGCTATATGGGTTCATCTTGATGATGTACTTTTGAACCTATGCGACATTAATGTTGTCAAACCAATGCTTAACTTGGCTGGAAGCATTCTTTGTACTGCTGAACCTAGTTCAGGATCTTTTAGATGTTTGATCAGAGTTAAACTACAAGTTCATGTTTTTGACCACTTAATACCAGTTTCTACTTGGACCTCGGTGATTCTGGTTTAAAATGGATTAATATTCGATATGAGAATTTATTTATTTTGTGCTCTAGGTGCAATAGAGTTGGACATAAGAAGAATTCGTGTTTTTTTTTACTGCTTATATGTCCACCCCTTATTTGGTTGATAAGATTGGGTTGACTATGTCCGCTAATCATCTTGCTCACAATCTCTCAAGCAAAAATATTGGCTGAAAAGATCTGAAAATTTTAGAACAACTAGAGTGAACCTCCGGAGTACTTTCAGAAACATCGACCCACGCACCTCGAAACACCGATCCCCCTCAACCTCAGAGCAGTCAGTCCAAAAAAAGGCCACTTATGTTTGCTACTCCACCGCTCCCTCCTTTTAAAAAACGGAAAATACACTCACACCCAAGCATATCAACCTTGCTCCAAAAGAACCCAAGCACAAACCAACCCATTCTAATTTCTGAACCCACAAAACACTTCTACCCAGTCTAAAAAAGAACCATCTTTTCATTGGCTCATCTTTGCCTCGGAAAAGGAATAGAGGGTTTGATAAGTTAAATTTCAATCTTCATCCTAAGCGTATTTCTCACCCATCACCCACCAACTCTCTTCTTTCACCTACTCAATCTCATCTAATCTTGGGCAGCAGAAACTCCAAGTCGCCTAATGTGCCCCTCTTCTCGAAAAGTTCAAATCCTCTTAAGGAACCAAAACCTCTTTTTAAGAGAACTGCCTCTAAAGCTAAACTCGTGACCCCCTTTTTCTCATTCCTCAATATTGGAAGTGTCTCTAATTCCTGTTTGACTAGTATGTTGTTTAGGAACGTGAAAAGGAAGTGACATAAACCGAGAGTGAAATTTCTGCCTGTTTTGGACACGAATTTGTATGATGACTTTGAGAGCTAGTATGTCATCAGACTGGTTCTACTATTTTTCTTTGTAAGAGTGAACAGGGCATGCCATTGCTCGTGTTTCTTCTGTTGATGACTCTGCTGAGTGGTCGATGGCTCCCCCTATTGGGCCACCCGGTGTGAGATGAAGTTTGGATCATGGAACTGTAGGGGTCTTGGGCAGGCGGACTCCCCTAAAGTTTCGTATATTAGATCTTTAGTCCGCTCTTGTGGTTTAGATGTTATGTTTTTGATGGAAACTATGGTATCTGTAGATTTGGTTGCAAAAAAGTTATCTGGTGTTCCTTTTTCAGGCTTTTGTGGTATAGATGCAGTTGGTTTGAGTGGAGGTTTTTGTTTTTGTCGTGGTTTTCCTCGCTTCAGCTAGTTCCTATTTTGATTACTTTAAACTTTATCTTTTGTAAAATACTTGTGGATTCTGCAATAAAATATGTGGTGTTTTGGATGGGGCACCCCATGTGTCGTTGATCGGCCTCATATTTGGTCTGCCCTTTCGAATGTTTTGTGTTCAAATTCAAACTTGGTTTTAGTAGGAGATTTTAACCAGGTGGAATTCTTAACGGATAAAGTGGGTGGCTCTACTTCTATACCTGGTCGTCATTAATTCATGGATTGGCACCTACAGTCGGGTTTATTAGAAATTCCGTTTTCAGCCAGAGTTTACTTGGACATATAATCGTTCTGATTTTGTCTCAACTTTTGAGGGCCTGGATAAGGCTTATGCGACTTCTTCTTGGTTTCATGAGTATCCGGATACAGCTGTAATTCATCACCCTATTCTGTTCTTGGATCATGCTGCTATTATTCTATCTGACTCGGCTGAGGATAATAAAGTTCGTCGACCTTATAGGATAGAAAATTGGTGTTTATCGGCAAAGGACGTACACACTATAGTTGACTCTGTAGTTTCATTGATCGTCGCTGGTTCTCCGATGTTTTCTCTGTCTTGGAATTTATCTTTCATTAAAGATCGTCTGTTAGTTTGGTGCACCTCTCATAAACGATTGTGGGGTATTGATTGGAAGAATCTAGCCCTGTCTATTGGTCAGGCTGCCTCTAGTTTGCATACTCGAGTTGGTCGATGTCTTTTTCTCACTACGAGGGAGGAAAGGTTACAGAGGCTCAAACTGCTTTTATGTTTTGGTGTTGGCGTGCGAAGGTTAATTGGGATGTAAATGGAGAGAGTCATTCTCATCTCCTTTTCTCTTTGGTTCAGTCTTGTCGCCGTCGTAATAAGATTCATAGTTTGAAGTCCTTAGATGGTTCTTGGGTAACTGATCCTATAGGTATTAAGTCAGTGGTGCTTTCGTTCTATCAGCATTTGTATACTGTCCAGGGGTCCTCTCTGGTGACAGAATCTTCTTGGTGAGATTAGATTCATCTACCTTCTCTTTCCTCCGAGCAACAAAAGGAGTTGTTAATTCCCTTTTCAGCTTTTGAAATTAAGAAGAATATGTTTAGTATTGATGATAATAAGACTCCAGGACCGGATGGTTTTTCTTTGGCTTGTTTCAAGATTCATTGGCAGTTGGTCGGTCCTTCTGTAGTTGGAGCAGTTCAGGATTTCTTTACTCATGGCTATATGCTAAAGAAGTGGAATCGTACTTTCTAAACTCTCCTTCCCAAGGTTGACAGTCCGGAGCTTATTACGCAGTTTCGTCCTATTGATCTTTGTAATGTTCCTTACAAGTGCATCACCAAATGTATTACTGGTTGACTTCGTCTTGTCTTACCTTCTTTGGTTTTTGATTGCTAGAATGCTTTTGTTCTGGGACGTCTTGTGTTAGACAATGCTCTAATTACCCACTCTCGTTCATGAATGCTTCAAGGGCTAAGAAACGGTATTATGTTGCTCTGAAACTAGACATGAATAAGGCCTATGATCGGGTTCGCTGGGAGTTTTTACTTCATGGTTTACAGGTCTTTGGCTTTCTTCCGTACTAGATTCATATTATATACCAGTGCGTCTTTACAGTCTCTTATCAGGTGTTGGTCAATGGGGATCCGTCTTCCACCTTTCTCCCACAGTGTGGTCTTCGGCAAGGTGATCCGCTTTCTTCGTACTTGTTTGTTCCCTGTATGGAAGTTCTTCCCGCCATATTACGCAGCGCGGAGAAGCAGTCGTTGCTCAAAGGCATTTGTATTTCGCGGGGAGCGCCTTCTATTTCATATTTGTTCTTGGCAGACGATTCCCTGCTGTTCTTCCAGGTCTCTCCGTCTACTTGTGATAATCTAATGGGCCTTCTTTCGGATTTTTGTGGTATGTCTGGTCAGATGATCAATTTGCAGAAGTCCTTTGTTAAATTCAGCTAGAACACTCCTTCAGATTATCGGGATTATCTGGCTCGTAGTTTAAGGCTTCAATGTGGGGATTCTTTGGATTCTTATTTGGGATTGCCGGTTGATTTGGGGAGAAGTAAGGTTTCGGAGTTTCGCTTCCTGGTGGATAAAGTGCCAAAGCGTCTTTCTGATTTCGCCTCACTTCGCCTTTCTTCTGCAGCTAAGTTGGTGATTATCAATCCAGTTCTTGTTGCTTCGTTCAACTATATTTTGTCTGTGTTTCAGATCCCCTCCTCGATCTGTCAACATGTTGATCGAATGCTTGCTTGTTTCTGGTGGCGCTCCTCATCTTCGTCTCGGGGGATAACCGTTCGCTCTTCTTCTCTACTTCATCTTCCTAAGGGCTTGGGCGGACTAGGGCTTCGTAGTTTATAGAGCTTTAATTCTGCCCTGCTTGCCAAGCAGAGTTAGCGTATATATCGGCATCCTCAGCTCCTAGTTTCGCGTGTATTATTGGCGAAGTATTCCTCCCTTCATTTTTTCCAACCAAGTCGGGTTTCACAGTCTTCGTGGGGCTGTAGAGGTCTTTTGGCTGGTATGTCCACTTTAGCTCGGGGGATTGCGTGGAAAGTAGGTTCGGGACTCAGGTTCGTCTCCTCGAGGATGTTTGGGCCCTTGGAGGGCCGGTTCCTTCAAATCTGGTATGGGTGAGTCGGATGTTCCGACTTATATTTCTTCTATTATTGATCCGCGTTCTTACACGAGGAATACTTCTAAGGTCCATCGGGTTTTCGACAATATTACGGCTTCGCGTATGTTGTCTGCTGACTGCCCTCAAAAACCGATGGATGATTTTTTTTATTGGAAATTTACTCGTGATGGTCAGTTTTCCACTAAATCGGCTTATGTGATGCTGATTCGCCAGTCCATGGTGTTAGTGGTTAGTGATCTAGTTTCGGCTTCATGGTGGAAATGCTTTTAAGGAATGTCGATTATGTTCAAGTTGAGGATGTTTTGCTGGAAACTACTTCATGATGCTTTACCTCTTTCTGCTACCTTACATTCCCGAAGACTTCCAATCAACCCCGCCTGTGTTCTCTGTCATAATTACTTTGAGACGACCTCGCATTTATTTGAGATTGTACGTTTGTTTCTTGTTCTTGACCACTGGTCCCTTAGGACTCTAGAGTACTTCTTTGAGGGTACACTCGTTTACTCACTAGTTCACAGGGCTGATATCTGGTTATAAATGGGAAGTCTCGAAATTGGTATAGTCTAGCCACTCTGGTCTCTCTTTTGTTCGCTATTTGGCTTACTCGTAATCAAATTGTTTTTAGACAGGCGGTCTTGTCTCCAGCTTAAGTTCTTCATATTTCTATAGAATGGGTATCGCGTAGTTTGGAGGCTGCTAGGCTTTCTAGCTCTGTTTCGTATTTTCAGAGAGGAATTTTCCCTTACTGTTTTAGGTGGGTGTGCCCGAGCCTGTCAGACTTTGTCAGCTTTACAGTTGGAATTACAGGCTTGCTTATGGGTTCTTCAAGCTGCTAGACAAAAAGGTTTTTTGTGTCCTCTCCTCTATATGGATAGCACAATTCTGGTTTCCATGTTATGTCGTTCGTGCTCGGTGGATATTTCTTGTGTTTGGTTGTTAGGGGCTATCAGAGATATTCTAATACAATTTGATTCTTGCTGGATTCATAAGGTTCCTCATCTCCGATTTGCTCCAACTCATTGGTTGGCTATTCGTGTTGGGTTTCGTAGTGTCCGACACTACGCGGAATGAAACCCTCCCAAATCCGCACACAAATTAAAGTAACTAAACATGCATATTAATTAATTAACAATCACATAATTAATTAACAAGGAAAGAGAAAGAAGAAAAGACGACCTTACCCTTGATGCATGCTTTGCTCTTTCTAAGAGCTCGTACTTGAAAGCGTAGAGCTTTGTAAATGCGTAAGCCTCCGATGGCGCACACCCTCGAGACCCGACCCGAACGAAACCTACCCCTAAGCTTAATCGGGGCTAGAACAAAAGTACTTAGAGTATTAGAACGAAAGTGTTCTCGCTTGTAGAGATCCTTTCAAATTCACAACTCAAGTGTCCTTTTCCAATGCCAAATGATTGGTATTTATAAGGAAAGGAGCCCTTGAATTCCAATCTCCCATTGATGTGGGAGAGTTGGTAAAAAGGCATTTATTCAATTTAATTTAATTCTAAAATCAAATTAAAATGCAAATGAATCAACAAACAACAAGTGTCAAGTGGAGAGCAAGGGGTTAGGTCAGGACCATAAGGGGGGGACCACCCTCCCCTTGCTCCCCAAGCAACCCACACAAACCGCCCCTCACACGCAGAAGCCAACCTATGCAAGTCAGCTGGCGCAAGGACTTGCACACCAAGGCACACCTAGCTGGTGTCTTGGTGCTTGGCTGTGCTGCAAGCATGGCTGCGTGCGCGAGCTGCCTAGCAAGCATGCCACGCATGCATGCGGGCTGCTGCTAGGCGCACACACCGCAAGCACTGTTTGCGAGCTGGTGCTGCTTCGATGCTAGTGCTAGGCTACGAAGCACGCACCACCCCTAGCACACGCACGCATAGCGTGCTGCTGCTGATGCGATGCTTGTGCTAGGCGCAGCCCAGCATGCTACTACCTCACGTGTAAGGCTCGGCTAGCATGTGCTGCTAGCATTGCTTACGATGGTGCGGGCCGGCTGCTGCCATGCCTAGCATGTGTGGCTGGCCCTTGGCAGGCCTTGCTTTGCACGCATGGCTGGCTCGGCAAGCATGCTCGGCCATGCTAGGCATGTTGAGCTTGCGGTCGAGCCTTTGCCTTACGGCAATGGCTCTGACTAGCCATGCTAGCCCTCGATTGGCTAGTCCACTTTGAGGCTAGGATTTTCTCGTGCGATGACTTGTTGTTTGCTTAATTTCTCGTCTCGTCGATTCCTAAATTCGAATCGACTTACGACGCTCAGTATTCGACGCTCTAAGCTCGAAATCCGACGTTTATGTTCGTAATACTCTAATGACTCATTTAATCCTTCGGATTAATTCGTCGTTTCGGTTCGGTTACTCGATTAGGTGTGACCCAAAGGGTTCAGTCAAGATTAAGCTGTAATATTAATTATGCATTAATATTAATGATCGGAAGCGGCCTCTAGCTAGGTATTCCGATCACTTGACCTCACTGAATAATTAGCTTTCGAATAATTCCGAACCCTCTATCGAAATAATACACTTGTTCGAAGGACACCATTCCTTTCAGTTCTTGCTCGTCAACGCCATTTTCTTTTTTGGTCTTTTTGATTGTTGTTTTATTTTGGTTTTCTATTTTTTATTTTCCTTTGTTGTTTTGTGTTTTCTTGTTTTAGTTAGCTCTCTTATTGTACTTTTGTTTCCTTATATGAAATCTTTGTTAAAAAAAAAAACCTTTTTTATTTTAGGTTTTAACACAACTCACCTCTAAACTAGTTTCCCTTGTTGAGGGTATGTGGGGAAAGCCTTAGGTGGTGGTTCATAGTTGACTGATATGGGTCCGCCTAGCATCCAAAATGATGAGGATCTACACAGCGCAAGCACTGTAAAAGGGAGCCAACCTCGGACTCGCTAGAGATCCGATAAAGGGACTAAGGAGGTGCCAGTAACTATGGCACCAGGGATAGAGGATCTAGCAGCTCCTCCTGAAACTGATGACAGTAGACAAAATGGCTGCTTTGAGGACAGTGGATTGAAGGGAAATTTTGTTGAGGGCATTGAAGACCCTAACCACCGAACCAATAGGCAAACTATTTTTGACAAGCGGTTGCTGAATTTGTCCATGGTTGTTGAATTTTGTCCATGGGTGTAAACTAGTTTAATTAACTTTATCAACCTTATGTGTCTCATTTTTGTATGCTTTTATAGTCTAAGGCCTTAGCTAATTTAGTGCTATGGTATGGATGCTACCTAAAGGGATTGTTATTGAGTGGTTGCTGACAAAGCTCGGGTTGGGGATCAGTATGTTCTAATGACATCTTTTTTGTACGCAAAAGCTTGGCCTGAAAAAGTTTGCGCATCAGAGAAAAAGGATTCTATGTGACCTTACTGTTGGGAATTTTTAATCTCCACCCTACATGTGGGTCATGTTTTTAGGCATGCCACCGATCCTAGGAAAGAAGCTAGAGAAAGAGAGTCGCCAACAAGTTTTAGGAACTTGTAAACCATTCACGATTGTGAAGGTTACACCCCATTCACAATCACAGAGATTAGTAACTCCATAGTGGTCTAGAACCATGACTGGATATTCGGGGATGATGATACGAACTTGACTTTCAAATAGGTCAAACCCACCCTAAAATAGGCCTCTACTTAATTCTTATTGACATTCATGCGCGCTTTTCGATCAACATACATACATCAAATTAATCCTAAACCTGTTTAATTCTATGTTGGTAGATTATTAATGCACAATTAAATCTAATATCGATCGGCGATTACTTGAATTAAAATCATGTTAAACCTAAATCCAATTATTAATTACATTATTAGGCGTGATTTCAATTACAAGTTCCCTTTAAACTTGTAAGAAAAGGGCGTGATAAAGCAATAACAATAAATCATTGATAACCAAGCAACATATAATTATCATAATAATCATCATTATCATAAAAACATCGTTAATAGTAAGATCCTAGGCATGATACTTAACAGATTAATATCAATCCTAGCATGTCACTAATAACAAAATCAGCACATTATCCTAATCATGATGCTCAAAATCAAATCGTTATCCTAAACATGATTTCTATTTCAAAAGAGAGTAATTAAATAATTAAATTACTTACTTTGATGCCTTGACCTTCTTGCTCTAAAATCAATACACACGTTAGTAAACTTCAAGAAAGTGAAATCAATAAAGTAAATAATAAACTAAATTAATTAGGAATAGAAATATAGATTTGGGACCAAACCCTCAAAATAATCAACCTTTCACGTCGAGGACAAAGACAACGTCGAGGACAAAGACAACGTCGAGTATGGTTTGGAGTATTCGAATCACGCAAAGGAAATATGGTGGATGATTCGGATGTATCAAGGATGTGTTTAGGCTAAGGCTAAGAACATTAGGAATTTCGGGTGTGATGATGATTATTGATGAAATTCGTTGTTGATGGTGATGGTTGATGATGATTGTCGCTGATTGTTGATGATCTAAAATCTGGGAAAATGACCTCTATTTATAAGGAAAAAAGAGAGCCGAATCGATCAGAAAAAGATCAGAAGTTCTTAACGAGATAGAACGTCTCTGTCACGACGTGTTGGCCCTTGTCGCGGCCCGACAAAGATGACGTGGCGCAACGGTCTTATGTTTATGCGATGGTTTTTAAAGATAGCAAAGTTCATACGGAGTTTGGTTTTTGATGGGTTTTCTACAAATATGACAAGGATTATCA